TTTCTGGGATTATAGTCTTCAGACGGCTAAACTGAGTTCACATAAAACGGCGGTTGATGGCAAAATAAATGAATAACAAACTCCTGACGGAAACATATTCTTGCCAGCGTCGCTGCTTAAGACAACTAATGGGCTACCTTCTAGCATTTTCGATGATTCTCAGACATCCTCATCAAAAATATACCAATTCTATCGTCTCCAACAAATATGGAACCCACTTGTAGAAATTTCAGTGAGGCGCACGACCGAAAGCTGACCACTTCGTACTTCGGCGGATCTGTAATTAGGCCAGTCACCAAATGCTAGAAAAATTTGCTGACACCAGGTTTCTACTCAAGCCGCTGATAATTTTGTGACGGGCATATTTGAGCAGCGCAAGCCAACCTGCGGCAATCTCACCTCAGTGCTACTGAGTGAATATCAACTCCAGGTAATTCTGCAGTCTAAGTAAAGCGATAGGACTGTAGTCTGATGCCAGCTTGCAAAGTCTTTATCAGATCAAATATGTAAAGTGGTATGAACTCACGTGCCCATAGAAAATTACAAAGAATCTAAAAAATGTCTGAAGTCGCTCAGTGAACTGGGATAAATGCGAAGATCCCTCGGGGGTTTCCAGAGAACACAACACTTCTAGTGAGGATTCTGCTCCCAAGGACTATTTTTGAGTCATACGAAAATTTTCATCTTCACCCAGAAAAAAACGTGAATCGTTTGGAGTTCACTCACCATTTATGGACGTCCCTCTCATCAAAATTTCCCACTTGCCAAATGAATTTTGCCGGCTCACCCGCCTGTCCGAATCTGAATTTTCAGAGTTGCCTACACCATTTTGATGGAGTTACCATGCTTGTGTGACCCATCCAACCCCACTCGGCTGGTGATGGAAGGTTTGCACTACAACTTCCAAGCTAGGCTTACAGACCAACGAACAGAGGCCAATATTTGTTAATCATGTATCCATTTAAAAATGGGAGCCATTTTGAATACAAGTCCACTGCCTACAATTCAGCGCATGAAGCGCTCAATCACAACACTTATACAGGCTAGTTTGCGTCTAGATAGGTGTACACCTCGGGTGCCTGCACCGTACCCGCAGAGTGTATTCTCTCTAAATCAAGATAAATATGATAGAACGGCGGGACTATAAAAATCCAAGTTTGCCAATTGTCGTGCAGTCACGGTGTAGCAGCCAGTCAAGTGACTCCACAGCAAGGAAATCCGCTAGACTCCCTTGAACCTAAGTGTGACACAAGCAATACGAAGTTATGCCCAGTTAGATTGTCTTTGAGTTCGAAATATTCGATAGATGCACGTCTCACTGACGAATCACAAGCTAATAATGGCTATGACATAGATCTGCTGAGAGATGTCCCAAAGCGTCTGTAACTAATGTGTGACCGTGATTTGTCGACGCCTGATTCAGCGCATGAATTTGGGGTACTGAGCCACCAGTTTAAAAATTCTGTACCTTGCGCCTCGAAACTGCCCCATGGGGTTGTTCATTTGTGAAGCAACGTTGGCGCAAACTCTATCGGTAGGCTCTCGCCTAAGTTTCAGTTAAGAGAAATGACAGATTTAATTTCTAAGGAATCTAAGGACAACATATGTGGAATCTGTCCGTTTAAATTGGTGTATGTCACTGCTTACGATGCTTTCGTTGTACCGGTTTGTCGTTGCAAAATCTCTCAGAAAAACTCGTCGGCCTGAACAGTTCCTTATGAATGAGGAAGTGTGTTATTATACCTGCGCGTTTCTGATATACATATAAGGGATTACAATCCACTCTTAATGACGGCACAGCATTGTCGACGGATTCCGGTGACGTGTAATATATGCTAAAATTAGTATGTTTTTGAACCTTACTACATTAGTTTCGCTGTATATACATCCATACCCTGGCGCTCCGTTTTGCTGCCCTTGTATGACCGCCTTGATATAAATCACCAGATTCCGAGGTCTCACTCAATCTCAGCTAAATTTGATATCACACAGTAAAATCTCTGGCAAAAGCGTTTTGAGTTCATATGTCTGATGTATGAATTCGGGCATTAAAACAACTGGTAGTTCCACTCCACCTCCATGTATATACGCAAAGGTTGGACATTGTAAAAATCTTACGGTATGAGGAAATTTGGGCAACGAACTGCTCATCACTTTCCAATGCAAAATCTCTGTTCACGGTAGGACACAAAGGAACTTCTGTCGTGAATTTTTTTTGGAGCATTTACTAAATATATCGTTTCTCTATATATTCCGAAAGAAATTGCTAAAGCGATGTTGATTCCACGGTCTTTAATAGTTGCTGACCACAATCATACAAATTGGCATTTCCTCTCGGTTTCTGTGATTTCCTGAGTTTGCTGCATATAATTACGACCGGTATGGAAGCAACTGCAGTGAGATTTCCCGGGCGCTTTGCTTTTCAAGTTAAATGTTATTACCCAGTAGCAGAAAGTATATACTTTCCTGTGCTGGTTCACCTCAATTTTCAGTGGGTGCCTGTAAACAAAATGTAGCAAGGTCCCACCTACCTCTGATACAATCATTTAACGACCCACAAAGGAATCAGTCTTTTATTCAAAGAGGAGTTGGCTTATTGGGTTACTTTTTGCTGAGCTATAGGATGTCCTTTTTGTATTTCAGTTAGCTAGTTATTTTAGTTAGTTTTTTTAGTTTGACGAGGTCATTTTCCCACTTGTGATTACTGCACGCAGAGTTCATACAGGAAGGCAACCAGCAGTGGGTTCGATTCCAGTCCAATGCCAAAAAAGTTTTAACCAGCGCGAAAATACCCTGCTGCAGAAAAGGAGTGCATATTACTCCATAATTTCTGGGCTAATGCCAATTAAGCACTAAAAAATATGTACACACAAATGCCAAAAACGTTTTTGGGAACGCATATTTTTAGGCAAACGTCGTTATTTAATCATGGCACGAATGTTTTGAGAAGAACGTCCTGGCAACCGTCTACCAGCTTGCAAGAACTGCCTTAATGCATGAGTGTTCCAATAAACCTCAGTTCTATCTGACACAGAAAAATTCAGATACTATCTTGCAAATTTTGAATGGAGCTGTGCTTTTACGAATCTGGAGTTTGCTCTGAATTTAGCACGAAGATCCACACTAGCTTATCGGTTGAGCTTCCGTATTATTATCAAGGCCAACTTAGCAATCGACCAATTAGAGTTGATCCTGTAGCCCGTAACTCATGTTGGTCATGGTTTTAGCAGATGTCAATAGCTTATTTACATCCATCACCTGTTTTCTCTTTAGTTTTTCTGCCATTCTGTTGCAATGGTTCAAAGTTTCACTCAACAGCTCAGGGTGGAACAAGGATATCTTTCACTATGAAAGTCTTGGATTTGGGGTTAAACGCCGTTAGTTGAGTGCGACACCTTGTCTGGACAGTTTTGTAGTCAGGTACCTTTGCACCACACCGGAGAAACTAAGATAGGGTGACACAGGTGAGAGTGAGAACACCATAAGCCGGAACGGGGAATTCTCTGAGTGCGCAGATAAAGAATAGCACAATACGATTCGGCCATATGACTTTAATGAGGTCTTACTTGTTTGGATTCACCATTTGTGAATATTCTTGTTGGTTTCTTGCTATCTCTACCAAATAGATATTTGGTTGGATAGACCTTTCATCATTCTGGATACTCCATTATTTCTTGCTAGAATGTTTATACAGTTAGATGACGTTTATCCCACACCAAAGATAAAAGATAGGTAAAGAGCAAACTTTGTTTTCGAGTGATCTCTGTCAGGAAACACTGTTTGGCCTGCGAGTTCGAATAGGACATCCATTCTTCTGTATATTTTATTTCGTGGGACCCAAAACGTTTCAATTCTATTTTCGGTGTGAAGTAAAACCAGCTGGAATAGATCGATTTGGTTCTTCCAATAAAAACTCCACTACAAAGAGGGATCGATTCGTACCACGGATACTTATGATATGGAAACCTGGTTAGTCTAGCGTACGGAGCAGTTACACAACAGTTGGAATGCTGAAGATAACCAAAAACACGCGGGAAGCGGGTTCCTTAAAACATGAATTTTGCTATTCTCTAGAAACTGCTTTGATTTTGGTGAAGAAATTAACTATGGCATGAACAAACTGAACACGACAACTAGATAATGAAACATACAAGGGGCAGTATAAGAACACCCTTACTTACCAGCCCCTTTAGGTCTCCGTTCACTCTCAAATGCTTACACGGGTAAATTTGATCGTGAGCCAGATAAGCAAACCATAAGACGTTTGCCCAAATAAATTTTTCCTATCAGGTTACATGTTTACGTCACTGACTGCAAGCATTGGAGTGACTTTTGCTCTTTGTCGGTGAGATAGTGAAAGACTGTGGTGTATGTTTACTTAGATGTTTGAGGCTGCTGCAGTTTGCCCAGAAAAATTTCAGCGAGTTTGGGATCGCATCACGGTTTTGTAACGTTAGCTTAGTAGATATGCTTCAAAGTTTTGTTCTCTGAATCGTTTTTAAGTTTTGGCTGACATGAGCGTAAAGTGTGGGTATTCTAAGTAATGTACCTTACAAAACGTAGTCACTCTCCATGACTTGATCCAGGATTAACGCAACTCCTGTTTATTGAATACTGTCAGTTGTAAAGCAAAGTGTGATTGTGTGATTGCCCCTCCAATCGCATTTACTCAGGCTGGAATACGTGGGTATAGACGCACTTGATTGATTGATATTTTACTACGATTCCCTGATAAATATCATTATTGCCATGGGGAAGCAATATTACGAGCATCATTTAACTACCCGCGTTCTGGTCACTACCAGGGACAGATTAACTAACTAATTTGTCGACAATCTGTATGCTCTATCCAGCTGTTCGTTAGGCTTTTGGAATTCGTTTTTAAGGTGACTTGATTGGAAGTTTTTTATTTGAACGCAGAACACTCAGTATTGAACGTGTGGTCAGGTAAATACAATAAAAAGGAGAAAAACTCATCGAATTATCAGCCAGAAACAAGTTCAGCTAACCGTACCAGGCCTGACCACATGTCCCAAAAATACGGGCCCGGCACGCCTGTGAACAATCGCCACAAAGAAAGGACGATCCACGCGCATTTCGAGCCCGGCGGATCTTGAAAATACATTAACGGAAGTTGCCGCGGCTGCTTCGGCTCCATCTTCGTTGACCTAGGAGAACAAAACATATGTTTCATGAAATCCTCGTTCTGCTTAACAGGATTTTTAGCCTGAATAATTGCTCTGTTTTCAACTCAGCGTCTACTGGACTTGGTAAAAGTAGTTTGGCATCGACGTGAAATAAGTTCTACGGTCCAGATTACGATGCGCGTTGAACTAACTTTGCATCAACACAAGAAAGAAAACCAAATATGCTTGAAGAGAAAAATGCCGCTGTATCTACAGCCCTGCATTCAAATTAATAATTAACCAATCGAAAATGAACTTCGTTGTATATTAAATCACTGTGAAACAGTCTCCACTTATTCGTATAAAATAACTACTAATCTGACCATCTGAATACTCAAATGGCGCCGGGTAGGAGACAAGTTTGGAGTTCAAAGTGACTTAACGTGCATGCAATAAAAACAAACTGCCGTGACTGGTCAAACTATACATGAACGTTAAATCCCCGAAGAGTTCAGCTCACTCAGTCTGAACTCTCAAGTAGCAGTTATAACGACGTCACACAAACTGAGCTGAAAATTCATGATTTTTCTTATTGTAACTCGACAGTAAAGCGTACCGAAAATCAGACTTCAGTTCCTCGACGAACGTAGCAGGTCTATTTGACACTATCCAACTAACTTGTGTTGGACATACCTGTTCTCCTAATCCAGCTGGATGGTGCGCACTGCTAGACAAGCCGACTGAAGATCCGAGTTCACATTTGGGATGGTTCAGACCAGAGGTATGACGGGGTTTAAAAAAACAACCGTCGAGCCGATTGTTTCAACTATGGTATGTACTAAACCAACCAGTCATGCTTGCATGGTCTCACACGGGGAAAAATCAATGACTAATAGAACCATCAACGGGATATGCATGTATAACTAACCACGAGGACTGCCTTGTGAAATATACTCGATACGGACAGAAAGTCATAGTAAGAAATCCCGGACAAGTCTGCCATGTCACTGAACAACAACCGCGCTCCCAAATTTATTAAAGCCTGTTTCATGTTGACTGATGACTGTGAATGACCAATTCTGAAACGAGGCATGTAGAGCTGCAAAGTCGTTGGTTGGAATGTTCTGGAAAGTATCGATGAAAGTGTTCCTTTTTTCTGCAAACGAACCAGTAATTGTCGGAGTCCCTTTTTCTCATACGGTAAAATTATCAACATGTCCCATCTGAAACGAATAACACAATGATATTATCCAAGAAATTACACCAACTGTTCTTGTATCAAAAAAGGCGACTAGCTCTGTTTTAGCATCAAGCTTTCAAGCGATTGGGCTAGCTTATCAGCAAGTGATGACAGTAACAGCGCAATTTGGTTAAACTTCATTGAAGCAAACCTGTTGGAAGTAAGGGCAGGTGGTTGGCTATTTGGTGACAACATTCAGATCCCAGCAACTGACCATTTGAGAATGGTAGGGAGATACTACTTACAAAGTCGATGAAAGCTCCTGCATCTCCGGCCCTCTTAGGACATGCGATGAAATTCTGGCATGTCTCGCCTTCGTATCAAGGTATTTTACTGAACAAAGCGACCATTTTTGTACATTCCTTGGTCCCTTTCCAATCTTTCACCATACTCATGAGTGAGGGCGAACCACCTGTCTATTTTCACAGTGGTTATAAGTGGGTAGAAAGTCGTGAAAACTTCACAACTTACCAGCAGTAGAATGCTCGGACGAACTACTAAGCAGGGTGGACCAAGAGGTCAATTCAGTTCACATCTTCTATGTGCATAATTTTGGTTCACGGTTGTATAATTTTATACTCATCTCCATAAAATCATCTGAAGGAGCCAACAATGAGGATTCGTATCTTTTATGGCGTTCTCGGGACGGACAACACAATCCGAATCAATCCGAATCAAATCAATTAAGGTTAGTTTCACCACATTGATAGAGAGATCCCTTCTGATTACTGAAAGATAAAAATAGTGCTAGATTATCTGAGATCTGTTTTGGGCCAAATGAGCGCTAGATAATAGAGAGCACTTGGTTAATCCATCAAAATTTGCGTGGCTTTTGTTCAACACAGTTTTTTCACTTACGTAGAACCATCACCAAACGGGAGTTTAATTGCATCCGCTTCAATGTCTTCCATTTCTAAGTAATCAAATTTCTGATTGGCGTACATCATCCGAACCGAAATTCCACGTCCATCAGGAGTGTAGAACGTGCTCAAATGCGTGTTTCGCTTATCAAACGGATGTTTCCAGAGACCTAAATTATAGTGAAGTTTAGGTGATGTATACAGGAAATATACCTTTGAAATAAAGTGCATTCACAATGCTCAGAGCACTGTTGTGGGTTAATGCGCCACTTGGAATGAGTCGCCGTATCAACCCGTGCGTTTGCTCTGAAACCCACTTGTTTATTCTTTGCCTCTTGGATTCCAAGTGAGGATACAAAGTTAGCTAAAGTTTTATTTCGATACACATCCGAATGAAACGTACATACCATCTCCACATCTGCTGAAAAATACGTCGTCAGGGCACTTTGGAATTCGGAATTCAGTCTTACGCTGTTGAGCAGAAATAAACGGTTCGCCACTAAGACTGTGACATCGGTTGATCTTGAAATATCGTTCACCAGTGATGATCCAGCCTTCAATATTTCATAGTCTGGTAGCGTTCTAGGTAGTTGAAGGACGTCTTGAAGTTCCCCTCTAGTGTTGGATCCAGTACCAAACAACGTCATCAGTAAAGCTATATACATGCTTATTGGAGAAACCAACACATTCTGCAATGGCGCTGGAGATTGGGCATCAAAAACTTGACCATATATATTGCTTGAAAACGCGGAAACGCTTTGATACACCTGTACTTCTCCCATTTCACTTTAATATTGGTTTTCGAGAAAACTTCGCAAATGGATCCGTTTATATTCAAATGACAACGTCCTACATATCGTGTGTTTAGCGGTATAGGTCTGTAGGTGTGACATTTTGTCCAATTAAACGCACTGTGATACAGTTGACAATGATTGCATTGTTCTATTTGGACTACCGCGTTGTTTTTTAATCAGCCCTAATTGGACAGTGTGCACAAGTTGTTAAGAGAAGAACCCGAACAGGACTGTGTTCAGAACAACTGTGTACACTTTTGTGTTTCTCGTCCGCTCTCTACGTCCATGATCACAAAATAGATGAATGTGATGAGCAGACCTCAGTCATAAGTCTCCCACGTCTTTGACGGGTGCCCTACCAACAATGCCCGTCTTCTAATTGCGAGATCAGTTGCTCGGATGCACTCAGTGATATCTCAGACAGTTCGCGATTTCAAAATATATCAAGCATTTTTTTGCTCCATAAAGCCAACTTATTTGAGGTAAGCAGACTGACTTGGCATTTAGAAACTCTTGGCGAGTCAGCATGAATAAGCAGGGGAACTAATGTGCACCTGTTTCAGCAAACATCATGTGGGAATGTCAGTGGATGTGAGATAATTCTATGCTGTGGACGCTCCAACCAGTTTCGGCAACGCTATATTTGTGCCGACTACTCTTCCTTGCACTGCACCGAAGAAACGAAATTTTCACACATTAATGGGCTTCATTTCTGATTACAAAATAAACTGGGTTCAACCCATGTTGAGTCAAGACTAATTGTATATATCTGACAATGGCGAAGGGTGTGCGTTGTCTGTGAGTAAAATGATAGAATTTATTGCAAGAATAGAAACGTCGTTGAGAAACACTGTGCGTTCCACTGCGGACCGATAACTAACGATAATTATGAAGAACGATCAACTGAAACACCAAAACCGTGGAATACGAATTTTCTGGCTCAAGAAATTTACTTATAAAATGTATACGGGCTCGCTGGTTTGGACCAAAATAACGAACGGGTTTTCGGAAAACGAACTGTTTGTGTGGGATGCCAGTGAAAGCACTGGTTGCGTCTGTCTCGTTCCCTAGGCTTTCAGCTACCCCAAATCTGTGCTGGTCTATTAGATTGCCGTAAATTAGTTAGGCTCCTATCCAACAGGCCATAAAGAACCGCTTTTAATGTCTGCTCAATGCCAAGGCATTTCTGCAGATTCATTAGAAGGCTTATAGTGACCAAAGGAATTTTTCAAAACGACGGCACTATACAAACCCAAAAGATATGGCAACCCCTTGAAATGGATGTCTGTGAACTCACTGCTAGTGGTCATTAGGCAAACACAGGTGTTTGGTTTAGGTGACTTTCGTTCACTGTGATTTTTGGGATGATATTGAGGAAACAACACCACCCATTCAGAAGTAACACGCATTTTATTGGGGTTAATGTATTCTCAATACGTAAAACGTCTCTCCCCCGCAAAATGGGACCACAGCTATCTGCAGCAGATGTTTTATTCAAGAGTTCTAGACAAATTTAAAGAAATCGATTCTCATCCCGTTCATCTCTACTGGATTTGTTGACTTATCAAATCAACTCGTTCATTGGCCGGTCTGAATGTTTTCTGTCGAACGCTACTGCATCGTGACAATCGTATGCTTCCCGAAGGAATGAAACACTTTCTAATCTGACGAAAGGCGATATCATCTCACATATTGCCTTTGTCTGACTATTCATAACCAGTCTAAAATTGTATCCTCTTTGAAACTCGAACTCGTCCACCGGTTTTCGTGAAGATGAGTTCATCCAATTCATACTGAAGAATGCGATCTGCCACTAATTTTTTTCAGTTATTATAGAACTATTGAAGTAAAGATACAGATAAAGATACAGTGAAAATACAGGTACAGAAGTAAAGATACAACTATTCGGTTCCCATGGTCATCCATCTCAAGGATCGTTGCAATTCAACGTACAAAGCCTGGGTTTTTCTCTAAAACCGTTCAAGCACTAGAACTGCTTGGTACACATTCAAAGGGTGTGTTGTAGTTCTACCTCAATACTTAGCTGAAAAAAATATGAAAAGGTTAACAGTAATGAGAGGTGTGTTAGCTAGCCACTTAGTTGACAACAGTTCGCCTTTGCGGAGAAGACTACCATCTGAGTTGTGAAGGATAATACATCTTCAGATGCTCCCTTTCGCTGACAAAATTAGGTCAAAATTCGCGAGCCAATGATCGTACGATTTGTCGATCAAAATGACTGAACTGAAATGTAATTAGGAATAAAATGGTTGATTGTAAACAATTTGCATCTACAGAGATTTTTTCGATTTCGGAGAGCGAAGTTAACTAGAGACGCCACGCACATACCAAAACGTAAAGTCTCTCGCAACTATTTTACCAAGTCACAATGAAATGCAAGAGCCCAACCCATATTGATATGGCGTTTTTTATTAAAAGCTCACATTAATCAAAAACTATTTTGATGGAAAATCATGAAACCCTTACATTGAATTCTTTTAAAAACGGTTTGTGGTTGAAATATGGCGTTGTATTCTGAGCTGAACTTGATATAGCTTAGTGCTTAAGGTTCGTGGTGTGAACTGAACCTCAGAATGTCGACAGTATCTGAGACGTCGTGCTCCCTTTTGGTAGTACGATGGCTAGGCAAGCAGAGATTGTTGCCGACGTCATTTTATCTCTATTATTATCACACATTTCTTGTTTACTAGCGGACGAACGGCTTGAGGTAGTAGGCAAATTTTTCTACCTGGGCAGCTGTATCAGTCCCGGTGGTCTCGCGAAACACGGTATTTTCATCCGAATTGGGGAGGCCTGAGCAGCTTTTGTGAACCTACTTCACCTGCGGCGTAGGCGTGACATTAGCTTATCCATCAAGGGTCGAGTTTACAATGGTGCGGTGCGCTCCATATTACTATACGGATCAGAAAACTGGCCGCTGCGCGCCGAGGACGTCAAAAGTCTTTCAGTGTTTGACCATAGATTTCTTCGGATCACACTGATCACACTGCATCGGTTGCGCTGGCCTGGCCACGTGCTGCGTATACCAGTCGACCGACTTCCTCAAAGGGCTCTTTTCGCAAAACCACGCGAAGGGTGGAAGAGAGCCAGTGGTGGTCAAACAAGACTTGGCAGCGAAGTATGAAAGCCAGTACCAGCCAACTCAGCTGCGCTGGTCACTGCCGTCTTCCTGGATTAGGACCCCAAGAGGAGCCACACCAATGGCTAGAGACATTGTCAGACATGATCCAGTCGCGCCCTCAATGGCGATCGTGCATCCAAGCTATTACTTTCAATGCATAGCTCCCTTCCCAATCCCCCAATTCAACAGTCCACCTACAGTGCTGTATTTACGCACTAATTTATCAGCTCCCGCCTGCAATACGAAGCTACCTACCATACCTCGCCTAATCATCGTTGAACGAAATTGTGACAGCTACAACCACTGTATGACGAGTAAGCGGTTATTACAGCTGACAATGATGATGATGATGATGATTTGTTATTTATTTTGGGAACTGCCTGACAGTTTTCATATGGTACTACCTAATAGAAAATTTTGAAATGGACAAAAATGCGGCTGAAGGCAGTTGTGTGCAAGGCTCGGTTGAGGCCCACTTTTTATCCTGGTGTTGCCTGTTTAAGTCCAAGCCAGAACATTCGAATTTTCAGCATACTTCCTGTTAACTTGACCAATCGTGAATATCATAAAGAAGAAATTCAGTTGAATCCGCCAGGAAAACCCGCTTGATATGCAAGTGAGTCTAAATCTGTCCAGTTTGGGTTTAGGTAGAGCATAAAGTAGACGGAAATTCTGGGACTGTGCCAACCTGTTGCGTGCCAAGATGTGCAAAACCGATCGTGATCTCTCGAAGAGTTCTCAGCAAACTTGTGAATAGTTTCCTTCAGGAAAATTATGACTTGCTTTGCAAGAAGAATTAAAACCTCTTGCTCCACGCTTGAGCGAACTCTTACCAACCTAAATCCCATCCATATGCAGAAAATCTGAACACAGTGGAATACAATGTCTTTTGTTGCCTATCAGTTAAGGTTTAAAATTTTCAGTTTCGTCGTCGAGATACACCACTTTTCAAAATGGGTTTTTGTCTATATGTGTGCAGGCGCGTTGGATAATCAAATCTTCTGGACCCGACCAGAAGCCTTGGTCACGTCACGGTTTAATTCAGCACCCGAATAAAAGATCGTTCCACCTGCATGATTCTCGCAAATGAATAAAGCTCTGTCCTAAAGTGATGATGGTTTAAAAATACAAGAGTCACCTAATAAGTCGATTTCATACTTTCTTTCCAATAGCGTATAAATGAAGAGAGTTTAGCAAAATTTTGAATCGTTTCCTTCAGAAAAATTTTATATCCCGGAAACCGAATCAAACGGAACAGCAGACAGACTTCGTGTAGCACATTCAGTTAAAAAATGCCATGGACTAAGGATTCAGCCGGAATTGTGTCAGATTGATATGCAAGGGGGTTGACATCACAAATCACTGCAAACTAATCGTGATCCTATATAATACAGTTTGTACCTCTGATTCATTGCTTCATGATTTATAAAGCTAGCAGTAAAGAGTCGATTTTCAAGCGATTTCTTTATTCCAAATTATTGACTTACGCTTCGGAAACTGGATTCCGCTACATCCAGCAATTGAGTACAAATCAGGACGGAACTCGTAGCCAATGATGCGTCTAAGGGGACCCAATTCTGTCTTGTAATTACTACTGTAATTACAACTAGTATGACTAATACCTCACGCCTGGAAATCAATACTCCTCAATTCCTTCATGAATGGCCTAGACAACTGCGAGGAGTGATCAGACTATTCACAACGGCCGAATTTCGAACATTACCGGCTG